AGCACACTCCACCAATATTCAATACACTCAACCTACTCACCATACAAAACATCCATACTTATTACTGCACCTATTACATACATAGAACACTCAACTCTGATATTAACCCTCCCCTCAAACATCTCCTTGCCAACCTCAACAGAACACATGACCATAACACAAGGCACAGATCACTCTTTGATATTCCTCGTGTCCATCTCACGCTATGCAAAAACTCAATGCACATAAAAGGCCCTAAAATCTGGAATTCATTACCTGTTAATATAAAAGAAACACTACCTGTTTATAAATTCAAGTCTCTTCTCAAAGATCACTTACTCACCCAAAACCAAATAAATACTGAATAACTGAACCTTATAAATTGTATATCTTAAATGTTTCTCACAATTATATCACATAAATGTTAAACCTAAAACCCAATCTAACTTTATTATTTTTTAAATTCACTACCTAACAGAATACTCCATTCTACTGAATTTACAACAATGCATGCAACCATATGACCTGTCTTTGTAATACTCACTTGTGCTTTATAGTAATCAGTTTACATTAATGTTTTTCACTGATTTCATCATTGCTTAGTTAATCCTTAAGTTAATTTTAAGCCAGCCCGTAATGCTATGCATAGTATAAAATGGCTTTGGCATGCTGCTCTTATCTGTATTTTTTTTGTACCTCTGTAAGTGTGCTCAAATTATAAAATAAATAAATAAATAAAAATAGGTGGTAAGTTATTAAATGCTGTAAAGAGTTTTTATGAAGATAGTGAGGCTCAGGTTAGGGTGTGTAGAAGAGAGGGAGACTATTTCCCGGTAAAAGTAGGTCTTAGACAGGGATGTGTAATGTCACCATGGTTGTTTAATATATTTATAGATGGGGTTGTTAAGGAAGTAAATGCTAGGGTGTTTGGGAGAGGGGTGGGATTAAATTATGGGGAATCAAATTCAAAATGGGAATTGACACAGTTACTTTTTGCTGATGATACTGTGCTTATGGGAGATTCTAAAGAAAAATTGCAAAGGTTAGTGGATGAGTTTGGGAATGTGTGTAAAGGTAGAAAGTTGAAAGTGAACATAGAAAAGAGTAAGGTGATGAGGTGTCAATGATTTAGATAAAGAAAAATTGGATATCAAATTGGGGAGGAGGAGTATGGAAGAAGTGATGTTTTCAGATACTTGGGAGTTGACGTGTGGGCGGATGGATTTATGAAGGATGAGGTTAATCATAAAATTGATGAGGGAAAAAAGGTGAGTGGTGCGTTGAGGTATATGTGGAGTCAAAAAAACGTTATCTATGGAGGCAAAGAAGGGAATGTATGAAAGTATAGTAGTACCAACACTCTTATATGGGTGTGAAGCTTGGGTGGTAAATGCAGCAGCGAGGAGACGGTTGGAGGCAGTGGAGATGTCCTGTTTAAGGGCAATGTGTGGTGTAAATATTATGCAGAAAATTCGGAGTGTGGAAATTAGGAGAAGTGTGGAGTTAATAAAAGTATTAGTCAGAGGGCAGAAGAGGGTTGTTGAGGTGGTTTGGTCATTTTAGAGAGAATGGATCAAAGTAGAATGACATGGAAAGCATATAAATCTATAGGGGAAGGAAGGCGGGGTAGGGGTCGTCCTCGAAAGGGTTGGAGAGAGGGGTAAAGGAGGTTTTGTGGGTAAGGGGCTTGGACTTCCAGCAAGCGTGCATGAGCGTGTTAGATAGGAGTGAATGGAGACGAATGGTACTTGGGACCTGACGATCTGTTGGAGTGTGAGCAGGGTAAATTTAGTGAAGGGATTCAGGGAAACCGGTTATTTTCAATAGTCGGACTTGAGTCCTGGAAATGGGAAGTACAATGCCTGCACTTTAAAGGAGGGGTTTGGGATATTGGCAGTTTGGAGGGATATGTTGTGTATCTTTATATGTGTATGCTTCTAGACTGTTGTATTCTGAGCACCTCTGCAAAAACAGTGATAATGTGCGAGTGTGGTGAAAGTGTTGAATGATGATGAAAGTATTTTCTTTTTGGGGATTTTCTTTCTTTTTTGGGTCACCCTGCCTCGGTGGGAGAAAGGCCGACTTGTTGAAAAAAAAAAAAAAAAAAAAAAAAAAAATTATTATTATTATTATTATTATTATTATTATTATTATTATTGTTCTCTCTCTGTGCCATTGTTTGCTGAAAACTTAAAGACAATTCTGTACAGTATCAGTAATGTACGGTTCTTAATACTAAAACATATTGTAATAATAAATACTGTAATAAAACCGTTTTACCTTTGTAATTGGTACAGTAAACTTTAGGTGATGTCTGTTCGTATGTCTTAATGTTCGTAACTCGAATGTTCGTAACTAGGGTAGTGTCTGTATCACTAAATTAAAATGGAAAAACTTTGTTTTTCGTATTATGTCGCCCTTTCTTGGAGATGACCGGTGCATTAAAAAATAATTATAAAATTAGTGCCTATGTTGATCATTTAAATTGTGATGTCAGCACACTAGTGGCAAAACAGTGACTGAGTGATGGTGAATGTGTTTCTTCTTATTTTGGGGTCACTCAACCTCAGTTTGAGGTGGCCGCTGCGTTAAAAAATTATGTATTCAAATTCTTTCATCTGGATGACATTTCCTCCAGTTTTTTCAACTTGTATTCAAATTCTTTCATCTGCATGACATTTCCTCCAGTTTTTTCAACTTGTATTCAAATTCTTTCATCTGGATGACATTTCCTCCAGTTTTTTCGACTTGTATTCAAATTCTTTCATCTGGATGACATTTCCTCCAGTTTTATCGACTTGTATTCAAATTCTTTCATCTGGATGACATTTCCTCCAGTTTTTTCGACTGTTACTCTTTGAAAATGAATTTGAAGATGTTGATGTAGTTTGTAATAGATAGAAGTTCATGATGACGTTTTGGTCCCACTTGGACCATATACAGTAAGTCCTCGAGGGGGGACCGTCTGAATTACAGTGGAACCTCAAATATCGAACTTTCTTCGTTCCAGACAGCTGTTCGAGTGCCGCTCCCCAACGAATTTAGTCCCATCAAGAATAATGTAAATTAGATTAGACCCTCAAAGATACACTTATGAAAGCACTAACAAAAATACACTTACATACAGTGGACCCCCGCATAACGATTACCTCCCAATGCGACCAATTATGTAAGTGTATTTATGTAAGTGCGTTTGTACGTGTATGTTTGGGGGTCTGAAATGGACTAATCTACTTCACAATATTTCTTAAGGGAACAAATTCAGTCAGTACTGGCACCTGAACATACTTCTGGAGTGAAATAATATCGTTAACCGGGGGTCCACTGTAATTGGTTGAGTTGGGAACTATTCTATATTTGAGGTTCCACTGTATGTATAATAATGATATATACATAATAGAGAGAATGGATCAAAGTAGAATGACATGGAAAGCATATAAATCTATAGGGGAAGGAAGGCGGGGTAGGGGTCGTCCTCGAAAGGGTTGGAGAGAGGGGGTAAAGGAGGTTTTGTGGGCAAGGGGCTTGGACTTCCAGCAAGCGTGCGTGAGCATGTTAGATAGGAGTGAATGGAGATGAATGGTACTTGGGACCTGACGATCTGTTGGAGTGTGAGCAGGGTAATATTTAGTGAAGGGATTCAGGGAAACCGGTTATTTTCATATAGTCGGCCTTGAGTCCTGGAAATGGGAAGTACAATGCCTGCACTTTAAAGGAGGGGTTTGGGATATTGGCAGTTTGGAGGGATATGTTGTGTATCTTTATATGTGTATGCTTCTAAACTGTTGTATTCTGAGCACCTCTGCAAAAACAGTGATAATGTGTGAGTGTGGTGAAAGTGTTGAATGATGATGAAAGTATTTTCTTTTTGGGGATTTTCTTTCTTTTTTGGGTCACCCTGCCTCAGTGGGAGACGGCCGACTTGTTGAAAAAAAAATATATATATATATATAAAAATGATATACTCAATACAGAAGAATCTCAGTGTGTTTGTAAGTTTAGGGCTTTGGTCCAAGTGGGATGGAAATGTTGTCACAAGTTTCTCTTCTTCTTTCAACAAACCGGCCGTATCCCACCGAGGCAGGGTGGCCCAAAAGGAAAAACGAAAGTTTCTCCTTTTACATTTAGTAATTTATACAGGAGAAGGGGTTACTAGCCCCTTGCTTCTGGCATTTTAGTCGCCTCTTACGACACGCATGGCTTACGGAGGAAGAATTCTGCTCCACTTCCCCATGGAGATAAGAGGAAATAAACAAGAACAAGAACTAGAAAGAAAATAGCAGAAAACCCAGAGGGGTGTGTGTATATACACTTGTACATGTATGTGTAGTGTGACCTAAGTGTAAGTAGAAGTAGCAAGATGTATCTGAAATCTTGCATGTTTATGAGACAGAAAAATGGACACCAGCAATCCTATCATCATGTAAAACAATTACAGGCTTCGTTTTACACTCACTTGGCAGGACGGTAGTACCTCCCTGGGCGGTTGCTGTCTACCAACCTACTTCCTAGACAAGCTTCTATTATGTGCGGGTTATTTGTGTATTTTCCAGTCACGGTTTAGTGCCGCCTTTCAATAAACTGACCATGTCCCACCAAGGCAGGGTGACCCCAAAAAAAAAAAAATGAAAGTTCTCTTTTTAAATTTAGTAATTTAGACGAGAAGGGGTTATAGTCCCTTGCTGCCGGCATTTTAGTCGTCTCTTATACACTCATGGCTTACTGAGGAAGAATTCTGTTCCACTTCCCCATGGAGATAAAGTATGCCTGTTCTCTCTAAAGTATGTTAAGCTCTAAACCTGTGTGGGTCATTCAACGTAGAACGTAGTGCAGGCTTGATCCTCTGTCTGCTGAACGCCAGGCAGACACGCTTCCCATTTGTATTAAATTTAGACCTGGCTCAGTACAGGAAGTCTTCAGTTGACAGACACGTTGGGGAACTTCCGTATTGTGTGTAATAATGATATTATACACATTATAAAAGATTCTCAATGTGTTTATAAGTCACAGACTTACTGTAATGTATTTTACATTTTTTCTTGTTATATTGGAAGTGTGTGTCATTGCAGGCATTGCTACAGAACCAAAACCGGGCGGGGAGGGTGAACGACCCATCCATCTTCCCCGACCTGTGCACCTCACACCGCAAGAACCTCATGCACATGCTCAAGAACCATCAGCGGGTAAGCGGTGTGAAATTCTCAGTTCCCGTTGTTCTTCCTGTATACAAACTTTGTTTCTTAGAGCATTATACAAATAATTTAATAATTTAGTTTACATATACTAAAACAAAGCAAAGAAGAAAGTCGCTAACATGTGGAGTATTTCATGCCGACTAATATTAATATTTGCATGCTAGACATAGGTTATTGAGTGGTAAATTTTAAATATACCTGGAAGGTGTTTCGGGAGTGAATGCCCCTGCGGCCCAGTCCATGACCAGGCCTCGTAGTGGATCAGGGACTGATCAACCAGGTTGTTACTGTTGGCTGCATGTAAACCAACGTAGGAATCTCAGCATGGCTAGTCAGGTACTGACTTTGTGTCTGTACAGTGCCTTCTTGAAGACAGCCAGGGGTATTGTAGATTGCCAGGGGTCTCGACAGCCAGGGGTCTCGACAGCCAGGGGTCTCGACAGCCAGGGGTCTCGACAGCCAGGTCTTTTGGTAATCCCCCTGATGTATGCTGGGAGGCAGTTGAACAGTCTTTGTTTTGTTTGTTTTTCAAGAGACGTTGTGTTTGGCAGGTTCAAGATATCAAGCGGAGGTGCATTAAGGCGAAGGAGGAACTCTCGGAGAATTTGCACGTCAGACTAAAGTGAGTACAGTGATGACCTGTGTATGGTGACTTGTATATAATGACCTGTATATAACCTGTGTATGACCTGTGTATGGTGACTTCTATATAAGGACCTGTATATAACTTGTATATGATGACCTGCATATAATGACCTGTGTACAGTGACCTGTGTATAACAACCTGTATAAGGTGACCTGTGTAAGGTGACCTCCAGTCACTCTACAACTCCCTTACACTTCAGGTGGATAATGTACATAGAGAAGAAGATGTATGAGCTGGCGAACAAGTTAACCATGCACCAGGAGAATGTTCGCCGCCTCATGGGCCTGCTGCAGGTGGTTGAGCAGATTCACCGGGCCCCCCGGGTCTACGTGGGGGCCATCACCGAGGTGGCCCGCAGGCACGTCTTCTCGCAGGCCTTCGTCGAGGTTGGTACTTGGCCCTCCCCCTCACTCAGGCGGAGGCAGCTGTGGGGGAGAGCCTTTGGCTTTTCTCTCCATAACTCGTGGGCCTCACACCTAGATGATACATGATAGTTCTTAATATAGATATGATAGAAACAGATAATCTTTTTAGTAGACAGCCCCAGTTTGTACTCCAAGTTTTCTGCGGCTGTCTTTCCCATGTACTCCTGTGTACAGGTGCTCCTCAGCTTACAATGGGGTTACATTCTGACGAACCCATCGTAAGTCAAAAACACCATAAGTTGAATGTGAATACAGCCTTTCCTCACTTAATGACGGAGTTCCGTTCCCAAGACCACGTTGGTAAACAAATTCGTCACTAAGTGAGGAGCATACTATAATGGTAGTGGGTTTGTGTTAACCATCTTTGATATTGTATTAATGTCACCTTTGTACCATTTATAACATTTCTGGTATATTTTTAAATGTTTATACAGTAGTGTACTGTATATTGTAATAAAGAGAATAGAGGAAGTCAGCTCTAATATACGTTACTTAGGTATGAATACTGGTCAGAGAGCCCGTTGTAAGTCTGAGTCATCAGTAAATGAGTACGTCACTAAGTGAGGAGTCGCTGTATATGCTAAATAAATAACTACTGTTACTAAATAAGTAAATAAACAAATAATTACTGTAGCTAAAACCAGTACTGAAAAGTAAATAAACGAATATAAGTTATGGACTTGTCACCTTCATGTTGGGTAATTATCTTAAGTTTCATTTCCAAAGTAATTGCTGCCACACCATCGTAAAATTGAAATATCGTAAGTCGAACCATCGTAAGTCAAGGAGCACCAGTACAGGCTTGGGGTTTGAACGTTCACTATGTGATGTATAGACTGAACACTAAACACATCACACAAACACTTTCTTGCCTGTACTCTACTGTCTGTGCACTGTCTAGTGTGTACTTTCCTACATTATACTATTTAAATTTCTTCCTGGCACTGCCTGGTTTGTGTAATGCCTACCGAATACTTCCCTAAAAATTATGCAAAACAAACGTTATAAAGTGGCATAGAGTTTATTACGTATAATTGACACAAAAAACTGTTTTCTATAAAGTTCCTTGTTATGCATAACATTTTGGTCAGTCTTAAATCTAAATTATAATTATGTATGTGAATAAGAATGTATAGTTTGTTAAAATATTGGAGGTGTTTAGTAATATAATAAAAGTTATATTAACCCTTTGACTGTTTTGGTCGTATAATCTTAAGTTAATTTTAAGCCTGCTCATAATGCTCTGCATACAAGGGGCTTTGGCATGTTGCACTGTAATAACTTTATACTTCACTGTGTTAGCATAGTCGCTGATCCCCTTACATGTGTTGTATAGCTTAGCTGAGTATCTTAGTACCATCTATATGTTTTATATAGATGATCTCTACTAGGCCTAGTGACTGTATGACGTCACGGGATGTGGCATGAGTGAGTGGGATGCGCTACCTCGCTCTCAGTCCACGGATAGACATACAACAGGCAAGAAGGCAGGCTGGGCCCCTTCCCTTACCACAGTCTGACAATATATAGCGTTACCATCCACAAGTGTGTTTATCTTCAACCATCATATCTCCTTTCGAACCCCCCACGACAACTGTATCATGTTCAAATTAATAATAAATAAATAAATAAATAAAATAAATAAATAAATAAATATATACGTCTTATAAGCCAGTGTTTCGGACGTATATATACTCAATAATTCTAGCGGCTTTAAATGAAGCAGGAGAAAGCCGGTAGGCCCACATGTCAGAGAATGAGTCTGTGTGGTCAGTGTGCACCACATAAAAAAAATCCTGCAGCATGCAGTGCATAATGAGAAAAAAAAACTGATCGTTTTTTTTTGGATTAAAATGCCGACTTTGAGGTGTATTTTCGTATAGTATTTATCTTTGTATTCTCATTTTCATGGTCTCACATGATAAAATAGAAAACATACTGCAGAAATAGAGATGATTTTGATTAGTTTCACGATGAAAACGACCTTGAAATTGAGCTCAAAGTACCGGAACTGTTTGATTTTTACCAATGTTCAGGAGTAAACAAATCACACCACACGTCCAATACACGTCAACTGGTGAGTCTAATATTCTTTCACTAGTGCACTGATATTATATATACCATTTTTACAATAATGCAGTAGTCTGCATACCAGTAAATTTTGTATTTTTTTGTATGAATAAAAAATCAAAACAGAAAGCAATAGTAATATAAGAGGGGCCTAGAGATGTGACTAATGAACAGAGGATATGTTATTTTAGTGCAAGAATGTCTACCTTGTTTATTCTGGACCCTATTTGGAAATTGGCATCTTTTTTAATTTGCGTGAAATTGGCCAAATTGCCAATTTCTGACCACTTTATTGGGTAGTTCAGATCGGTAAATGGGCGGTTTCTTGTACTCAGCTGATAGAAAAAATTGGAGTTCTAAAGAAATAGCTATGAGTTTGGTCAACTGGAACAACGGAACTGGCCAAAAATAGGGCTCAAATTGGCGTAATCGCTGATGTGTATATGTCACCGAGACTGCTAACTTTGCAGGAGCGTAATTCCATGAATTTTTGACCAAATTTCGTACTTTTGGTGTCATTACCATTGGGAAAAGATTATCATTTCATAAGAAAAAATAATTTTTTTTTCCAAAAATTTTGCGACATAGAATAACAGTTGCAGAAAGAGGCTTGCGACAGTCAAAGGGTTAACCCTTAAACGGTCCAAATAGATCGATGTTCAAATCCGTAGTGCTCCAAAAGAAGATCTATTTTTTTTGTTTACATATTATCAAATATAACAAAAAAAAAAAATGCAGATAAAAGTTTTTTTACACATTTTCAAATGTAAAAAAAAAGAAAAAAAAGAGGATGATGTACATTTTTTTACATACTTTTAAATGTCGTAAAAACGTATATATACGTTTGGACCGTTTAAGAGTTAACTATGGTTAGGTTAGGTTAAGTGTATATATATGTAGATGTTTTGTGAATTTTGTGTGTGTGTGTGTGTGTGTGTGTGTGTGTGTGTGTGTGTGTGTGTGTGTGTGTGTGTGTGTGTGTGTGTGTGTGTGTGTGTAAAGCATAAACATACAGCACCACACATACGGTGTAATCTTGAAAAAGTGGGTCAACGGCACTAAGCAGTGAAACTGGAGTGTGCAGCGGAAGTACGACAAGACGCCAGTTCATTCAGCACTCTCTCCACGCACTTTCTGGTCCTTGCCATTATCCCTGTGATGGACGACCTACCCCAGACTTCGCCACCAAACCGCCTGACAAATTCATGACACCATTGCCTAAGGTCGTCGCCATTTGCACGCCTGTTGTTGATGACGAACAAGTCAGTTTGTACACACTGGCCGTGCATTGAAAAGAATAACTATATGTACTTTATATGTACTCTGTGTACTATTCCCTGTATGAACTTATATGTACTCCTATCCTTTCCTATATAACCTCTTATATATAGTATGCAAGTTTGTTCTGTTATCTTAGCTTGTGTGTTACTCTCCTATATGTACTCTCCTATACATTACTCTCATATGTACGTATATAATTTTCTATATGTACTCTTATATGTACTTCCATATATGTACTTGTATGTACTATCCTATATTACTCTTTTATATGTACTCTCCTATATGTACTTTCCTATATGTACTCTCTTATATATACTTTCCTATATGTACTCTCCTGTATGTACTCTCCTATATGCACTCTCCTATATATGGTTGAAAAGGTTGAGTCTTAACTCCTGGTCCTACGTTTTAACTTGCAACTTACTAGATTCATTTCCTCTTAGCCTCTTGTTGCCTGTCATACTAGCTCTTAAAACTGCGTATGTGTGTCCACTTCATTGAAGTCTTTCGGCTTGCTGACTACTCTTGAGGCTGGAGAAGTACCTCCCAACATCCCCCGTGACTCATCTGTGTCTTTAATTTCCAGCTGTGCCCCTGTGTATCTCCTTCCTGGCTCTTGAACAGCCTGTCCCTCTCTCTATCAATTGCTTTGAGTATTTTGTATGTTGTTATCATGTCTCCTCTGGTCTTGTCCTCCAGGGTGGTAAGATTCAGTTGAATCAAGTTCTTCTGGTAGCTGATACATATTAATTCTGCCACTAGTCTTCTTGTATACTTCTACATAAGCTCTGGTCTCCTATGTGTGGGTCATTTATGTAAGTCTCCTGCATTTACAGTTGTCCAAGGAGGACATTGAGCAGCTGCAGTCGATACTTCCTGAGCTGGCATCCATGCTGGTGGTCGGGGAAGTGGTTGCTGTGCCGCCGCTGCTGCGCAAGGCTCTGCACTCACACACTGCGAATATTGACACTCCTAGGTGTGTGGCATTGTTTTTTTTTTATATTAACGCACCAGCCATCTCCCACTGAGGCAGGTGACCCGTAAACGAAGATACGCTTTCATCGTCACTCGTTCTTTCACTCTCTTGCCAGAAGTGTGCTGATACTACAGTTCAAAACTGCAAGTATCATTGCCGCTCCTTCTGAGTGCAGGCACTGTACTTCCCACCTCCAGTACTGTAACATTCTCACTCATCCTTCAGAGTACAGGTACTGTACTTCCCACCTCCATACTGTAACATTCTCACTCATCCTTCAGAGTACAGGCACTGTACTTCCACCTCCAGTACTGTAACATTCTCACTCATCCTTCAGAGTACAGGTACTGTACTTCCAACCTCCAGTACTGTAACATTCTCACTCATCCTTCAGAGTACAGGTACTGTACTTCCCACCTCCAGTACTGTAACATTCTCACTCATCCTTCAGAGTACAGGTACTGTACTTCCAACTTCCAGTACTGTAACATTCTCACTCATCCTTCAGAGTACAGGTACTGTACTTCCCACCTCCAGTACTGTGACATTCTCACTCATCCTTCAGAGTACAGACACTGTACTTCCCACCTCCAGTACTGTAACATTCTCACTCATCCTTCAGAGTACAGACACTGTACTTCCCACCTCCAGTACTGTAACATTCTCACTCATCCTTCAGAGTACAGGTACTGTAACTTCCACCTCCAGTACTGTAACATTCTCACTCATCCTTCAGAGTACAGACACTGTACTTCCCACCTCCAGTACTGTAACATTCTCACTCATCCTTTAGATTCCAGGGCTCAAGTCCTGGAGGTGGAAAATACAGTAACTGCACCATGAAGGATGCACAGGATGTACAGTTCTCACATAGGTCATACTGAACTCCTCCATATACACTTTTAGCAAGTACAGAGACTGAATAATACTGTTTCTCCTTATTTCAGTCACCAACCTGGTATAAGATGTCCGTGTTTAGACACACCTAATGTCATAAAGTGACTGTTATTTCCTTGCCACTCAGATGAGCAGTTCACTACCCCAGTAATCTTTAACATTACAACAACGTTAAGATTACTTCCCTCCGTACTGTGTATATCATTATTATATCATTATTATTTATAATATCATTATTATATCATTTTTTTTTTGTTTTCAACAAGTCGGCCGTCTCCCACTATTGTGCATAATATCATTATTATACACACTTCATGAGGTCCCCAGTGTGGGTGTGTGTAAATTGAAGGCTAACTGTATTCCAGACTCAGCCAAATGTTGGCGAAGGACGGCAGCGCCGAGGTGTATGCCTCGGCGGTGACCACCGCTGCCTCCGTCACGCCCCGACACACACCCGAGCGTGACCTCGTTACCAGAGAGCAGCAACAGCTGCGACCAGTTTCCATCACAAGGTAAGTTAGTCTGACGTGTAAGAGAGACATGTAACAAACCAAGGTACAGGTGGGGATTGAACTCGTGGTAAGCACGTAAGTCACTACTGCTGCTTTCAGCCTCTACTCTCTATCTGACTGAAGAAGCCTGTCGTGCAGAAGAAACTTTTCGTCAATATTTATAAATTCAAGTCTCTTCTCAAAGATCACTTACTCACCCAAAACCAAATAAATACTGAATAACTGAACCTTATAAATTGTATATCTTAAATGTTTCTCATAATTATATCACATAAATGTTAAACCTAAGACCCAATCTAACTTTGTTATTTTTTAAATACACTACCTAACAGAATACTCCATTCTACTGAATGTACAGCAATGCATGCAACCATATGACCTGTCTTTGTAATACTCATTTGTGCTTTATTGTTATCTGTTTACAATAATGTTTTATCACTGATTACATCATTGCTTAGTTAACCCTTTGACTGTCGCGGCCGTATATATACGTCTTACGAGGTACCGTGTTTGACGTATATATACTCATAAATTCTAGCGGCTTCAAATCAAGCAGGAGAAAGCTGGTAGGCCCATATGTGAGAGAATGGGTCTGTGTGGTCAGTGTGCACCATATAAAAAAATCCTGGAGCACGCAGTGCATAATGAGAAAAAAAAACTCCGACCGTTTTTTTTAATTAAAATGCCGACTTTGTGGTCTATTTTCGTATAGTATTTATGGTTGTATTCTCATTTTCTTGGTCTCATTTGATAGAATGGAAAACATATTATAGAAATAGAGGTGATTTTGATTGATTTTACTATAAAAAGAACCTGGAAATGGAGCACAAATACGGGAAATGTTTGATTTTTGCCAATGTTCAAAAGTAAACAAATGATGTCATTGTCCAATAAATGTCCAAATAGCCATTCTAATATGTAGTCATGAATGGGTTGATGTTATTTATACAATTATTACATATTGCAGTAGTTGCATAATAGTAAATCTTCTATTTTTTTTTGAATAAAAATTCAAAATAGAAAGCAAGAGTAATATCAAGGGACCTGGAGACGTGACTGATGAACAAAGAAAATGTTATTTTAGAGCCTGGAATGTCTGCATTGTTCATTCTGGACCTTATTTTGAAATTGTCATATTTTTTAGTTTTCGTGAAATTGGCCAAATTGCAAATTTCTGACCACATTATTAGGTACTTGAAATCAGTAAATGGGCAGTTTCTTGTACTCAATAGATAGAAAAAATGAAGTTCTAAAGAAATAGCTATGAGTTTGGGCGACTGGAACAACGGAATTAGCTGAAAATAGGGCTCAAAGTGGGCGAAATCGCCGATTTGTAAACAGCGCCGAGGTCGCTAACTTTGCGAGAGCATAATTCCGTCAGTTTTCCATCAAATTTCGTTTTGTTGGTGTCATTACTATCGAGAAAAGATTCTCTATCATTTCATAAGAAAAGATAATTTTTTTTTTTTAAATTTTGCGACACCAGGAGACACCTCAGGATTGGGGGTTGCGACAGTCAAGGGGTTAATCTTAAGTTAATTTTAAGCCAGCTCGTAATGCTATGCATACAAGTGGCTTTGGCATGCTGCTCTTACCTGTATTTTTTTGTACCTCTATATGTTCAAATTAATAAATAAATAAATAAATAATATTATTTTTGTTTTTATTCCAAATAACCGCGATTACAAGGAGGAGGGACCGACATTTAAGCATTGCCCGTTTACAAAGTTTACACCATCATTTCTTTTTGTAAATGTCACGGAGAAAGGTCGTTACTAGCATTTTTGTTCCCGGCACTTTTGTGCCTCTTTGACATCGATGGCTTGAGGCGAGGAAGAACTCTTCCAACGTCCCAATTTTGACAAAAAGAAATAAAAATGAACAAGATTTTTTTTTTAAAAAAGGAAAAAAAAATTTTATGTAATATTATGCATATGAGTGTCTGTGAAGTTGCCAAATGTGATACAAATATGGTAAAGCAATGCTATCCGTTTTTCTATTTACTTTTTGAGACATTTAAAAATTTCTTTCAGCAATTACCTCATGCCAACAATCAGTTTAAGGTTTCTTTTTCAATACTACACTGGAGCGGTAAGTACACTGGGTGTCTTATTTTGTTTACAAATATATAATAAATAAATAATATGAAATATATAAATAAATTAAATAATTAAATAAAATATAATCCAATCGTTTGTACATGTGTTATTAATATCACAAATAACCCGACATAGAAGAGAGAGTTACGACGACATTTCGGTCCGACTTGGACCATTTACAAAGTCACACCATGTACAATTGTGACTTTGTAAATGGTCCAAGTCGGACCGAAACGTCGTCGTAAGCTCCTCTCTTCTATGTGCGGGTTATTTGTGTATTGTTCCAGTCACATTATTGTGCCTTTTTTTGTTATTCGTGTGTCTTAACCCTTTGAGGGTCGACAGGCCCTCTCAGAAACTCGTTCTCAGGGTCGGCCAAATTTCAAAAAAAAAAAAAAATTTTTTTCTTATGAAAAAATAGTTTTTTTTTTCTAAACATTATAGGCTAAACAAAAAATTTTTACCGTCAATACTTACCGAGATATGGAGGCGTGAAGTTTGCCAAAATTGAACAACATATGGTAACATCGCCGACTGCCGTCACCCGGTATTTTTCTATACTTTTTTATGTACTATTTTCAATTATTTTTAAATTTTTCTTTTTCTGAGCAACTTTTATGGCCTCTGAGGCCAACATGATCGGTATTTTGTAAGTTATTTCTTTTTCAATACTACACAATAAGGGCATAAACACTGTTGTCATTATTTTGTTTATAGAAAATATTTACACAAACAAACGATATGAAATGTTGTTTATTACTATTTTCTATACCTTTAGTTAACATATCATGCACCAAGAGAATGTTTCTAGTAAGTTCTTGCAGCCTGTGGATCTTTGAACATGGTTCATACACCATGGGAATTTATCACTCCTCAACACTAAAAAATAGGTTGTTACACAGTGGTGTGTACACTCCTATCTATCATTATAAACATGGTTCATACACAGTGGATGTTTTAAATCTCACCAATTAAAACATGGTGTCATGCACAGTGGTGTTTTACACTCCTCACACATAAAACGAGTGTCTCTGCGTTGTTGTGGGCGTTTTTTTGTATGTGCACAGACGTAACACCTCTTCTGAGCCTTTTTCTTGAAAGCAGTAGTAGGCAGTTTTACCAGGAAGTGATCACCATGCTTCAGACAGCAGGTAGTTGTTGATAATTTGGTGGGCGGTCAATTGCAGGTGTGTTCCTTGGTACTTGAATACTATTTGTCTGATGACAGACAAACAGAATTCGCCTTACTGTGGTTTGTTTCTGGTCCTCATCTTATACATATTATAAGCATTGAGCATGGAAATATCCAGAAGATGGAAAAAGAGTTTGATGTACCACTTATAACTCTTGCGAACACAATCAGCAAACCCAATCTGCATGTCACATTTGTCCACTGAACGTATGTTGAAGGTGTAATCAATCACAGCTGCAGGTTTTAGAATGGGTTCATTGCTCTCTCTATGCTGCCTGCCACTGTCTGCCATTTCATTAGGGTGAATGATGACAACAGTGTGACATCTCGTTTGTCATGCCACCGAAATGCCATGATGTCATTGGCAGCAAACGGCTGCACCTCACCTCTACGAGTGCCAGCGTCAAACCTGGGCATATGTTTCCGATTTGCACACACTGTGCCACACACGTCTGTCATGTTCACTCGCAAAAAATCCATGGAGTGAGGGGCTTTGTTGTCCCAGTTATCTGTAGATAATTTATATGCCCGCTTACCAAGGGTATGGTTCTATCATTGTTCTAACCACATCACTCACCCCTGCAGTGATGCCCAATAACTTCCTGCGTCATGATGCATGTTTTATACGTCAGTGTACACAATAATATCCAATACCACAGACCACTGTACTCAATCATCCAACCGTCACAAACACTTTTTACCATAAGTGTTCTCTTGCTTAAGGTAATTGTGTATACTGAAGAGAGTCTTCCTTTGAAACTGAATCAAAGACTCGTCAAGTACAAGCTTCCTGAAGGGATAAACTGCGCTACTGAATTTCTTTTTCAGATACAATAACAATTGGCCTAATCTTATATAACCTGTCGTTTCTGTCAGGCCTGGTTTTGTTGAGAAGTCTGAAGCATACGTTAACATTCGCACAAATCGATTCACTGGCATTATATCTCTGAAAACCTGGGGTTGGGTTGCAATCAGGCGGTCTGTGACCAGTATGATTTCACTTTGTGCTTTTACACATGTGGCCATAAGCATTAGTGTGGCAAAGGAAAAGATACAATCCTCAGCCACTGTGGCCTTTCCTTCCACTGGTGGTAGACGTGATTTTTGGTGAAAGTAATGTGTTTGCCATGTGGGTACTCGTAGTATGTGTTGCTTTTCCATGACAATACTTTTTTCCTCAGTGGTTACGTCAAAGAATAACTCGAACATTTCCAGTTCAGTGCATTTGTTCCCAAGGGTACAAGATGGACCGTATTTTTCCTCTTTGTGCTGTCATCAAACTGGGGGGCATGGAAAAAATTGACAGCTTTCCTGCCAATCCCAGGTGCGGGGTCTGCGGTGGGTACTGGACAATGACAGGTGGTTGTGAGCGGTTGTGGAGGTTTAGTGGTTGTGGAGGCTGTGTGGTGGGTGGGTGGGGGAATGGTGGCCTTGGTTGTAGATCAGCTGAGGCAGGCAGCGTGGGTGGCTGCATGGCCCTCACTGCTGGTGCCTCACCGCCAACACCACTCCACCACGACATTTTCCTTCCAATTGCAACAGTATTCATCGTCAATTTTCACTGTTGTTCCTGTTGTACAAGCCACGGGATGTACTCTGTAGATACACTCCTTCCCCTTGGTTATAAACATATGGCACACTTCAAGAGCGCATTATATCGTCGTATATACTGACGCTTCACTGGGGAATAGATGCACTTCACTATCACT